AATAGCCATCTTCTCTCAGTTTGTCAAATTGGTCAATCCAGAACTGGACACACTCACTTCGGAAGATCAGTCACCATCATTCAATGTGCTGGTTTCCAGTGCTAGGACCAAAGGTTACACTGTCCCTCTTGGCTCGGTTCTCAGAGAAAATCAAAAACCTCTGCATTTCCGCTATATGACCATTTTCTGTTCCTAAGCCTGACACTGTCAGGGTACCCACCAGCATCACTGCATCCATAAAGTTGCCAGCAATAATTTTTGAGTCATTGTTTGTTTTATAAGCGTCACGCCATATCATCTTTCTGGAAAATCCGTCAATACATCCACTGATTATTCTGGTAGATTAATCGTAGCAACTGAACTTGCTTGAGTTCGTTGAAGACGTTTCACCTCTCATCCAAGAGGCTTCATCAGTTCTGACTGTCTAGTTGGGAGATCCAGATACTTATAACCTAAGGAGCCATTAACACCTGAGTTTTGGTTTCAGTTGGGGGTTGTTACTCCTCCCCCTCCTTATGTGAGTCGTTAGTACTCCCCCTGCCACAAAGGGGTTCATTAGGGACTTTTGTGGCTAGGTGCGGATGCGGTTTCATCTTCCTGGGGAAAGATCTTAGGACTGAATTGCAAACCGGTGAGAGATGATGCCTCAGACCTCCACCTCTGTTGAGGGACGGTCTTTCCAGTTTGACATAGATGGCTTCTTTCACCCCTCTCTCAAACCATCTGTCCCTCCTCGGACCCCGGCACAAAGACTCCAATCCTCCCCCTCCACGGTTGTCATCCCTGCACCAGATCCCATCACCGGGTTTATCCCCTTTTCCCCCTCATGTAAAATAAAACCGTTTTACTAAACCTTCTCCTCTGTCTCCCCCTTCGTGTGGATCTACCCTCACAGTCACCGAGCGCGACCCGTCACAGAATCATCTGGCCATAAAAGATGGATCCCACGAACCCCAGCACCATTAAAGAGGCCCTAAACGCCCAAGGAGTCCTTCTGGGGAAACACGACCAGCTCCTCCAAGGTTTGACGGACGCTCTCCACAACCTGACGCACAATGTACAGGGGATTGCTTCTCGCCTGGACGGCCTGGCCAACCCCAGCTCCGGAACTCCGCCCGAACCCTCCGTGAGTACTCCTTCTCAGGCCACTTCCTCTTCCTCTTCGCTTCCCAGCCGCGAGCCTAAGGTCCCCACTCCTGAGCCTTACGCCGGAGAGCCGGGTTCTTGTGGTCGGTTTTGTTAAACTGTAAATTAGTTTTTGACTTACAGCCGCTAAGCTACCCGTCAGATAAAGCTAAGTTAGCCTTTTGCATAAACTTGCTACGAGGTCAGGCAGCTCAATGGGCCACAGCCTTGTGGCAGAATAAGTCAGTTTTGTGAAGTTCTTATGAAGCCGTCACCACCGAACTCTGCTGTGTTTTTGACCATTCAGTAAAAGGTCGGGAAGCTTTAAGTCAATTGTTCGATTTCAAGTCACAGTCGGTGGCTAGTTTTTCTATTTCGTTTAGGATTTTGGCAGCTGAGAGTGGGTGGGATGAGCCGGCATTAATGACCTTGTTTTCTCGCTATTTGTGTGATGAGCATTTATCTAACTAAAGCAATGTTTGGTCAGACAGAATAACATTTCTGTATCACTTCCAACATGGCACACGTCTGAACTGCTTGTAGCCACAAAAACAGAAAGACATGCACAAGAAATACCAACTAAAGCTGCTCCCAGTGGCCGACAGCACCTTGCATGGCAGCTCTGTCCCACTGGTGTATCAATGTGTGTGTGAATGTGTGAATGAGAAAACACTGTAAAGCACTTTGAGTATTACTAAAGTAAAAGGTGCTAAAGAAGTGCAGACCATTGACCAAAAGACACCACTTTACTCCAACATGGAGACATGATCAGGCTCCAGCAGCAGGTCACACTGTGTTCTTTCCTTCATCTTTAACAGGTGAGCTGTCACACAGAGTCAAAGTTTATCAGCTGCAGGTAAATCATTTGTGACATAACGGCCGTTCACAGCTTTAGTTCTGGGCTGAGGCTGATGTGTTTGCTTTCAATTTAGGTCGTTTTTGTGTATAAGTGCATTATTATATAACATACATCACATGCTGTTTTTCATAATCTTGAAGCAAACCCACTGTTGTGTGGTTTGCATTATGTATTTGTGCCTGAATCCACTGCTGTCAGAGTAGTGTTTACCCGCCTGTTCAGTTTCAAGATTAAATATACCAACTTTTTGTAAAGCACTCTTTCTTTTATATTCATGATTTTGTATTTGCAAATAGCTAGCATGGAATGATGTCTACATTTGGATACAGTTAACATTAACAAATCAAGTCACATTTACAGACCTGTGTCTGTCAAGTACCAGGGACATAATGAAATTGATTTGATTTTACATAATAATGTTGGCAAGAAAAAAAAAAACAGTTGAAAATCTGATAGTTGGACATGATGAAATGACTGACATCATAAAATGACTTAGTGTTGTGGTAATTGGCAAATAAAATGTCTAATCAACATAATTCTTTGGAACAATATAGTGTGACATGCAACAATTCATTGAGAAAAAGGGTCAAATTGTGTCATTTGGCCTTATACTGATCTGATCTGCAGCCCACTATGGCCTCAGCTTTCTCAGATGAAACTGAGATGGCTCCACACAGCAGGGGGACTTGTGTTTTAACAAGTTTGTCTGGCTGTCGTAAGATGAGTTCCTCCACCAAACTGACAGCGAGCAGAAGCCTCTCCACGGACAGACTAACCAACAATAAAGGGGCCCTGATCAGCAGACTGGGGTCTTTGCCAGGTAGCATTACTGTTACTGTAACCTAGTCATCGAATGGGACCAGGTCCTCATTCACTTTTTGCCCTTCCAGCTCATCATCATCCCTCATCAGTTCTGTGAATAGCCTGGTTTCAGAATGAGGTAAGGGATTGTTTTTCCAGGCCTGGTCGGTCCTACTGACCTAGGTTCCCCAATCCAGCAAGACATTCAAAACTAGCATGTCCAGGTAACATTTGATTAGGGCTTTCCCTAATTAGTTTTAGCACTTGTTCATTACTGGTTCGGTGGGTTTTGTAGAAACTCAGTGGTCTGTCTCTGCCTGTTTGTCTCTTTTGCACAGGCCACTACTAGGAGCATATATCCAGATGTTCATCCCACTGAAATCCACTGTATTAGTCTGGTTTACAGAGGCACTATTGGGCTGGGGCTGGGATATGTTTACTGGGAATCTACCTGCAGTGACCAGCTCCAGTTTCTGTGGTGCATAAACTCTTCAAGAGAACCCTCAGCCCTGCCTCCTTCCTCACCACAGCAATGTCTACAGTTGGACAGGCTGTGCTCTACACATCTAGGAGAGATGTTAGTCCTCTTCTTTTTTGTAATAGTCACTTTCATTGGGTAGCACTGATAGGTCTGTGCTCTATGTATATGTGGCGAGACTTAGAGCCAGAGCAGGTGTAGACTCACCCGACAGCTCAGCAATTTCCAACAACGTCACCTTGGGAATTTCACCCAAGGATTCGTTCTACCTCTCGCAACGACCTCAGAGTCACACAGGTCTGTTACACCACGAGGCAGGAGACGTGGTTCAAGATTCAAGATTCAAAGAGCTTTGTCATTTCAACCACATACAGCTGTACAGTACACAGTGAAATGAGACAGCGTTTTCCAGATCCAGAGCTTAAGTGATAGATATGATAAAATAAAAATAAAATAAGACAAAAAAAGTTAAATGAAATAAAAAAATAGGATAGGGTGAAAAATATAAATACAAATATGGAAACAGTAGTGCATATAAAAAGGTAGCGCAAACGTACAATTTAAACACGGCAAACAAAACATTACAACACAACACGGACAATACAACACAATGGAGGTAGTGTGTGTGTGTGTGTTTTTGTTTGTGTGTTAGTCCAGTCCTTGAATGTTTGACAGTCGTATGGCTTGAGGGATGAAGCTGTTGCACAGTCCGGCCGTGCAGGCCCGCATGCTTCTGAACCTCCTGCCGGTCGACAGGAGTGTAAAAAGGTTATGTGAAGGGTGTGTGGGGTCCTTCATAATGCTGGTGGCTTTTCGGGTGCAGCGTGTGGTGTAAATGTCCTTGATGGAGGGGGGAGACACTCCATTGATTTTTTCTGCTGTTCTCACTACCCGCTGGAGGATCTTGCAGTCTGAGACAGTGCAGTTTCCAAACCAGGTAGTGATGCAGCTACTCAGGATGCTCTCAATAGTCCCTCTGTAGAATATTGTCAGTATGGGGGGTGGGAGGTGGGCTTTCCTCAGCCTCCGCAGGAAGTAGAGGCGCTGCTGGGCTTTCTTTGCTATGGAGCTGGCGTGGAGGGACCAAGTGAGGAACTTCACCAGGTGGACACCAAGGAATTTGGTGCTCTGCACGATCTCCCAGTAGTGGAGCCATCGATGGTCAGTGGAGCATGCTCCCTTTGTCCACTCCTGAAGTCCACAACCATCTCTTTAGTCTTGTCCACATTCAGAGACAGGTTGTTGACTCGGCAACGCATGCTGCTGCACCTCCTCTTTGTAGGCTGAAAAAAATCTGATGATTGTCATGGTATATGAAAGAATCTGTACCATATCAACAGCACTTCTGTGTATTTTTTTTTTATTTTTTTATTTTCTACTGATGGTTCTACACATTTGCACTATGGAATTAATAAAGGCTTATGTTATTTTATCGTATCTAATCAAATTTTTATTTTGTTGTTCATATAAAAGCATTGAAGTGTTTAAGTTTGACTATTAAATACAACTTGCAGGACAGTTATTGCAATTTAAGTTCAATACAGTTTAAATTTTAGGGTTTTGTTTTCTCATGATTACTGCATAAAAAGAAAAACATTCCATAAAGCCACTTTTTTCCCCTCATGTTGCATAATGCTGTGAGTGCAGCAGGTTGTGTTTTATGGGAGGGTTTTATTCAAACTGATAGGAGCTCCGTTTTCCTTTAAAACAGTGAGCAACACATGTGGAGTGCTTAGAAGCACAGTTTCAAGACTTCAGGTAAGATCTTCACATCTATTCTTTGATTGGAGTTTTTTTTTTTTTCCATCTTCATTTCTTCATACTAATACATACTAACTGTTGCCCTAAATGTTCCCATTTCCAACACATTGTCATACAATCAGTATCAGTTCAGGCTTTAACTACATTTACCCACAACTACTATTGACTTTATTTGACTCCCGGTATCACTGATAGTATGATGCTTGTTTTGTGTACACCACTGCTATTTCTACCTCTCATTTATTACTACTACAAAGTGCCTCTAGTGCTCATCACTGCTCGTCCTCTGTCTTTTTACTGTACTACTTTTGCCTTTACTGTCAGAATGTGACTGTGAAATTAACTAATTTTTCTTACATTGTCATTTATTTATTTATTTATTTGCCTGTTTTGTTTCTTAACTTTGGTTAGATTTGATTGAGATGCTGCTGTTGAATCTTCAAATATTCAGTTTCACCAGTATTTACATGTTTCTCATATGGACCACACAGTGGTTATAAGTCATTATTTTAATTGGTGTCAAAGTGGTCACTAAAAATAAGAATGTATGACAGGTTTTAGAAATGCTTAACTTCATACACTGACAGTGATTAAATGATTAGCTATTTTATTCCCTGATGTTAAAATACTAATAAAACACATGTAATCCTCATTAACATACGAGAGTCTTACAGTTTTATGAACATTGCCTGTTCAAATTCAATTCATTAAATTGCATGAGCTAATTTTAAAGATGCTGCTGTGTATGTCTGGTAAATAAAATAAATACATTCACATCTGAGCAAAGCTGGCGGGTAAACTCCGGTCCCTCCAGGCACCAAATGGTCACTGGGCAAAACATTGAAACCCAAGTGGCTTTTCATGGCAGCTCTGCCAGCATCGATGTGTGGGTGTGTGAGTGAATGGGTAAATGAAAAACATGATGTGAAGCTCACAGTGTCACAAACTCACTAAAGTTAAAAGACACTGTATGACTTTTTCTTTTCTTTGAAAGAACAGTTATTGTAAAGGGACATAAATGCACCGGCAGTTTTTACCACATCTTATACATTTTTAGGCTTCTGATGTGATATCATTTAAACTAGGCTGTACACGTGGACACAAATCACCACTAAGCAGAGGTGGTCAGTGAGGAAGACATTTTGTCCATTGCACAGAGGATTTACATGTTGTTGTTTTTTTTTTAACCTGCCAAAACTGTGCCACACTTATGATGAAGTCATGACAGACTTGGTGAATAGGTGAGTGACTGATTTTTAAAAATGTATCTAGAATTCAAAAAGACTTTGTTAATCTTACTCTCACACTCCAACACATAATTAGCTGCTATCTAGAACACATCACACCTATATTTTATGGGTAGATAATTAGCTTCCCTTTCATAGAAACTGACCAGCTGCATGCTACGGCAAAGTAATCATCAGCACTTACTTGCATCAAACAAATGGTTGCAGATTGAAAGCTGAAGGGCTCAGATGACTCTCCAGCATGTTGTGTTTGTAGGTAAAACTATGAAAGAAAACACTATGCAAACAAATTCAACTGTTGTGGAACAACATATTCACACAGGTCTTCAATGACAATGATGCAATATCTGCTCCATGTCTAATGCAACAAGCTGTGAATGAAAAGGTGATAACCACATGGATCTGTATTAGCTTTAAGGAAACAGCCTGGCATACCTGTTTACCAGCATGGCCTTTCCACTTTTTCCTTTCGCTTTTTTAGTTTAAACTACATGATTCCAATATCAGAGAGCCTTGTTGCAATTCTTCATTAGTTTAATGGTCTCCATAAAGACCATGTCCTAAAATGTTTCTCATGCAGCTTGATTGCATTTTCATGAATGGTAAATCTTGACATCTTTAAATCCCCTCATGTACAGTTTTGAACAAATATTTTTGGTCTTCCTGCTCAAGCTGCAACAACCCTCACGACATCACTTTGATATATAATTTTAAAAAAATATTTTTTGGGGCTTTTTTGCCTTTAATGATAGGTGACAGTGAAGACAGACAGAGAAATGTGGGGAAATGACATGCAGCAAATGAGCCGCTAGCTGGAATCAAATTGCGGCCGCTGCGTCAGGGATTATAGACCCTGTACATGGGTCGCCCGCCCTATCCACCGACTTTGACTTTTTTTTTGTAGATTGAGTCTAAAACTACGAAATCCAGGTGTCTCACTGTAGAGTTTTACTGTTTAATTTTATTCTAGATAAAGCAATGCTGACACAAATGTTGTCAGGGTGACTTGCAGGTGACGCTTCAGGCCAGATGCAAGTATGTGAATGACAGGCAACAGCTGGAGGGCACTCTAAAATGTCCTGGTGTAGTGTAAAGACATGGGCAATATATGACTAGTTTCAAGCTGGAAAATATAACAATCAAGTCTAAAAGAAATGACAGCTCCTGCCAGGCACTTGAAATGTTCACAATTTTACAAGCACTCAAATAGAAATAATGAAAAGTAAGATTTGAGAAAACTACTCGCTACAGTTTTGATTTGTTGTTCCTCCTCACAGCCTCCTCTGAAGCCATGGCCTCCAGCCTTCCTCTGTTCCTGCTGGTCCTGTGCAGTCTGAGTGTGGCCCAGTGCCAGCTGAGGCTGTTTAACCTGCGGGCCACTGATCTTCCCTCTGACCTGTTGGGAACCACCGACGGCTATGTCAAGGTGTTCTGTGGTGCAGACACTTTGGGTGAAACCTCTGTCCGTAATGACAATGCTAACCCTTGGTGGGAGGAGGAGTTCGAGCACTTCAAGGCCTATGAGAATGAAATACTAAGGCTTGAGGTTCATGACAGCGACCTTTTGTTTGACGACCTTCTGGGAGTCTGTCAGCGTCAGCTCAAGATGGGAACCCATGAGCATGACTGCTATCTAGAGAAAGGTGGAACCCTCCATTACACCTACACTTTCGGCTGAGAAGTCAACATTGTCATTAAAAAAACAAATAAACTGTGATGCAACAAACAAACTTTATACTGTGTGTTTAGTCATTTAACATATAGTGTGGAAGTGAAACACAGAAATATTCCATTAACCCCACACAATTTACTTTTTCTTTGTTCCCATACTCCTGTCAAACAACCCATGTACTTTTTGCCCATAAAACTCCAAATTATAGAGGAACTCATTAACAGTTATTCTTTAGATATATGGCCAAATTAAACTGTTCCTCCTCATGATGTACACCCAACACAATTATTGCTCAAGCAGATAGTAGCAGAGGTGAAACCTAATGTTGTTGAGGCTGGAGTGGTTAGTGAATTTATGTGCCTTGTCACACAACAAACATGCAATTAACATTCGACATTTATTGACTGTGTCCCCAATCTGTCTTTGACTTCAACCATTTCATAGTTGCTATGTGCTGATATAGTGGAAACTGAGACTTTTAAAAGCTAGAGGACCCATCCATCTTCACCCACAACATCTTAGTGTGGAACAGGACCTGCTCTCAGGCTGACAAGAAGGCTCAAGAGAGAGTCAGGAAGTCAGCACAGAGCATCATAGGAGCACAGCTGTCCTCTCTGTCAGACATCTATGACACCAGATGTCTGCACAGGGCCAGAAGCATCATCATCTTCGATGGTTCACACCCTTGGCACACCCTGTTCTCACTGTTGCCCTCAGGAAAGAGGTACCGATCCATCCAGGCCCCACATCCAAACTCACCAACACGTTCTATTTAAGTGCAATATAGGTACTGAATGCACGGTAGTCTCCATAGTCAGAACTATTTATCATATATATGTACTATTTATATTATACTATATTATATTCTAATTATTTTTAATTATTAGATATTCTATTATATTTTATATATTATTATATATTATTCATATTTATTTATTTTATTTATATTTCTCATATATCCACATTGTTCTTACCTCAAGAGTGCAATATATTTATTCTACCATTTGGATATTACCATGCTCATTCCTAACTGTATATATTTTCTAATCCTTTTGTAAATATTTTGATATATTCTTATTTGTCATTTTTTATACTTGTATTTTGCACCACTATTCTACACCCTCAGTAGAGGGATGTAGTTTCTTCTGCCGTCCATGATATAGCATTTAAAAAAAAAAAAAAAAAAATATAGCATTTAAAAAAAAAAAAAAAAAAAGTGAACATTGACCCTTCGCAGAGCTATAGTTGCACTAATTGACCCCAAAATCTAATCATTCTGAGACTGAAATATCAGCAACTGTTCACAGACACATTGATGGGACCGATTACTCTGGTCAGGGGCAACTATAACAATGGCACTGATCATAAAAAAGTGGAATGTAATCCAGAGTTTTGTTCAAGTCGGACTGAAGGCTCTGCCACCATTAGTTTTAACCTGGCAAAAAAGTTTGCTTTTTGAAGTGTAATTTATATTGTAGTGTAGAGCCATCTGAGAGGCTATTGTTTTTGTTCTCTACTAACACATGTATATGTCTTCATGTTGCAAGTCTTCTCCGTAAAATTAAATCAAGTTGTAACTGCCATGCTAAGTTATGGTCACCTTCCATGTTGCAATGTCTTCTCCCTTCATACATTTGAAACAGGAGAATTCAAGCATGTATCTCATGTTTTGGTGTTCCCTCCCTGCTGGCTCACTGGATTTATGCAAATTTGCTCTCCTTGCCAGCGATATATTAAATTCTAAAGTTGATCCGCTGGTGACTTAAAGGTGCCCAGTGGAGTTTCCTTGTTATTAAATAACAATAGCACAACATAAAAAATGCCATAGTTTAATAATACGCTTGACATGACAGACAGCCATTTATTAATGTCCAGAGTATATGGATTACACTTTTACTTCCTATAAAATGAAGTGTCCAAACAGGTTTGAGCTCAAGACAGACATTATGTGATGAAGGACTTGACTGTACACCTGTCTGACTGAACTTGTCTCTTAGTGGGGTAGTTGATAGTTAGAAATAATGAATGAAGTAATTGCAGTGGTGCCACAATTGTAAATGTGCACATCAGTTGTCTGACTTTTGAGATGCACATATGGATCCTGCTGCTGTCTGATGCTGCAGTTATTTATTAAACTAAGAGGAAGACTAACAATCACACCCATCGCCATGAGGAGACATTATTGGTGAGTCTCACTGACCCCACCTGTTTGAGACTAGGTCTTATGTTAGTTTTGTTTTGACTGTTCTTGATAGCTGCTATGTCGGTCAGTGTGACTTCTACCTTTGTAGTTGACTATCAGTTTAGTTGCCATGGCAACCTTATAAGGAGTACAGTCTGTCTTGAGAAATGGGGCATCCGGGCACCGACAGCGTGAGAAACAGACATGTGCTGAGATAGCATGTGAAGTGTCATCTGTGTGAGTCCCACTCTCATTGTGAGTGCGTTGGCAGCCTTTCATTGGTGGGTATGTTGGAATTACTGTCATCTGCTGATATGTGGAATGGTGTAAAACCATTGGCTGGACTGAGTGTCGTTTCACACACCCCAAACAACATTTCCATGCCTGCAGAGTACAAAAACTTCACAGGGGGACAAATTCCATGAAATTCCATGGCTGGGTTATTGGGTCTATGACCTGGAGAAGATGAGTACTATAACTTAGGTTTTTATTGGCAGTGTAAAGAAAGTATTTAACACACAGAAAACTTCAGGGACAGTCACATTATTCCACCGGGGGAAAAGTGTAAGACTACAACAAAATATTATTTTCATTCTTGATTTATAGGCACATCATAAATAAACAAACAATGGCCATCATGATTACCTAAAACCCCAAAACACAAGTGAGCATATTTTTGGGACCATCTGTCTATGTTTTAAGAATTTTATCATTAACTTCATCTGAATGCAGGCTTTTTAACTTTTTGCCAGAAGAGTGGCTTGGACCATGTTTGGTTTTTTTAGTATTTTTTTTTTAAGCTTTTGTGTCCCTTATCTAAGAGCACCTTTATCTGACTTCTGGACAGTCTAGATATTTTCTATTTTGAACATAATCTAAATTTCTAGATGAGAGAAAACATTCACATTCATGAGCAAAACTATTCAAAAATAGTATCCAGATAATTTTTTAGCAATCAGCTGATCAATTTATTGGCTAATAATTTCAGCTCTGAAGTATGACTTAGTTTCTGGGTGCCATTGGAAATAATGGCCACCACTGTCTTTATGCAATGAAAGCTCTAAGTTTGCCACCAAGTTTACTGAGCAAATATATGTTCCTAGGAGACTGCAAAGGTGTTATGTGGTAGAAATATATGCACATATGGATTAATAAACCAGAATTAAATAGTAAATGGGGATTAAATTGGGAATAGATTAAGTGACCAAGAAAATGGTTTAATAAGGGAACAAATTACTAAACTGAGAGAACAGATAAATGAATGCAAGGAATGGATTAATAAACCAAGGTAACAGGGAACAGAGGGAATTAAAACAACAGTAATAGCACAGAAGAAACTGATTAATAGACCAAGGGAATGGATTAGTACACTTAAACTTAAGGTTTCTGACTGTCGCGAAATGAAAGGCATCCAAGTGTCAATGGAGTACAACGTGGCACACTGTGCTGTGGCTGGAGAACAAATGGAAAAGTTTCTCACACATTTGAGTCCATTTGGGAACTTTGAGGTCCCCAAATTGGACATTTTCCCCAAATGCACTTCTCCATTTTTAAACTTGAAAAATTAGGGCCTGGGTCTGGCAATTTTTTGGCACTTGCAGACTTGAACTTTGACTTTCTGGAAAGTCTGAATAGACAAAAGTTGTCAAAAAGCTCTTTCTGGAGGGACCAAGCTACCCAGTCTTAATGGACAGAAGTGTCCCGTGTGGGGAAAAATTGGAAACTTCTGGACATACAGGATGGGAATGTCTCCATGGTGTGTTCAAGTGGAAATTTGCCAGTGTGTAGGTCGGGTCACTAAATGTCACAGACTCAGTTGAATACAAGATATAGTAGATACAGAGTGGAAAAAGTGGAGAGGGCAATCTCACAGTGATCCCTGTCTCAAAAAACACTGAAGTATATTGAAATGGCAGGAAATGCTTGAAAATTACAGCAAAAGTAATGAGTGGTTGAGCTGAAAGAACTCAGCCACACAAATAATATATTGGAGAAGTGTGTGAAGAGAATTATGTCTGTTATCACAATTGTTGCACAGTGATAGGTGACATGGGAGATGAAAAACAAACATAGCATCACAGTGGCCAGCAGGCATGGATCTGTGCTGCCTGATAAGCCAGAGGCTCCTTTTGCTGGATGTACCCTGCATTTCACTCACACGACCCTACACACAGCAAGTGGTGGATGGCTGGATGAATGAATGTGGTGGTGTAGCTTTCCTCGATGTTGGAAAAAGGTGACCAAGCTCTGTCATGTTATGTAATGGTGAGAGTGTGGCAGGTTGTGTTGTCAGTGCATTGTGGGAGGGTGACATGAAGCTGATATGAGGCCTGATCTCTAAAAATGTGTGGAACAGCAGATAGTGGGGAAACAGACAAGAACACCAAGCCTACAGGTAAGACGTACGTCTGTTCCTGTAATTTCGCATACTATTTTGTTGTTCCCTGTTGAATGTCTTCTAACCTAATCACTCTCATGTGTGCCCTCAGACCATCTGATTTTATTACTGTATAGACAGAATGTTGCATGTAACAAAGTCTTGTGCATTTAATTGCATAGATTTGTAGTTACTTGTATGTCAGGTAGATGTCATGGTGGAGGAGCGGTTAGCACCGTTGTCTCACAACAACAAGGTTTTGGGTTTGGATATGCTGGATGGCTGGCCTAAATAAATTAGTTGTTTCTTGTTTTGACTTTAGAGGTTTCTATATACAGTATTTTGCACTTTAATTCTGTTCCATGTGACCTTGACACTTAGATGTTGACACTGAGAAGCATAAGTGGATCACATCATTCACACTAAGTGTATTATAATCACAATAGTAACAAAAATCGAAAGAAATACATATACCTGCTACACACACCCAGCGAATCTTGTCAGTGTAGGTGAAACAACCTTCCGACAAGAGTCAGTTGAATGCAAAAAACACTGCAAAAATGGACAAAATGGCCATTGATCGAAATTGCACGGGTCGCCATTTCCAAACCGGGCCTCATCTGCAAAGTGTTTGAAGAACTTTTAGTCACCACGTCATGTCGTTTGTGCCTGCCAAATGTCAGGTGTGTACGACGTACCCTGTAGGAGGAGTTCGATTTAGAAAATGGCCAAAAAATGACCATTTTTCAGTGAAAATGGCCCGGCATGCTCGTCGTGTTTCCAACATGGTGGATTTCCTGTTGGGTCTACAGAAACATGCTAATGGACTTTTTTGTGCGTCACGAGTTGTTACACATGTGTGGCGAATGTCGTAGTTGTAGGTGAAACGTAGCCACAATGGGACTCCGTTGAAATATTGTAGGGGGCGCAGTTGAGCCGTGTTGCGTTTTAGACCTTGGAGCGGAGAGATATTTTTATTTGTGCCGACCAGCTCTATATGCACCCCAAATTGCGTAGCTGTAGGTTAAACGTGTTTCCGATAGGACTTCATTGAAATTTTCAAGGTGGCGCTGTGGAGCCATTTTGGCAGTGACATGTCCAAGTCCCTTAAAATATCAAATTTTTCGCCAGTCCTGATGTGCGTGGCGATTTTGGTGAGTTTTCGAGCATGTTTGGGCCCTCAAAATCGCGTTTCAAAAGTCGGTAAAATAATAATAATAATAAATAATAATAATCACAATGGCTACAATAGGGTCCTTGCACTGGTGTGCTCGGACCCTAGTAATAATCCAAGCAGTTCCAATAGGATCTTCGCACCCTTTGGGTGCTCGGACCCTAATAATAAAAACAACAGGTCATTTGTGCAGTTTACCCATAGTTACATTGAATGTTGACACTGCCCTCTAGTGGGTCGTACTGACGATGGGAGCAAAAGAGGGAGAGACGTGATGTAGGTTGATTTCACGGCAGGGAAAACAAAACACTGGAATTAGGAAACAGTCTATTTCAGACCAATGAAAAACTTGGCTTAACGTTTCCTTTAACCATGACCTTCCCTCTTCCAACTTTTTATTATTGTCACTGAAACCCTTACCTTTACCTAAACCTAATCAATTTGTTTCTGCACCTAAACCTAACTAAATAGAGGCCAAATATATTTGTGCTGTAATATGCTCAAAAGGTCTGAGGGTTTGAGACTTCTTGTGATGGGATCCCTAAATGGGATGGAATTCTGGAACAAGTCTGAAGGAAAGGTGGTACCAGGATCCTTGACTGAAATAACTGTGCAAGTGTTCCAGCCTTGGTAGTCAATTCAATTTTATTTGTACAGCACAGTTTACAACATATGCCATCTCACAGCGCTTAACATACTAAGGTGAAGGCCTTACGAATTTAAACAGAGAACCCAATAATCCAAAGTTGCCTTTGGACCTCTGAGCAAGCAGTTAGCAACATTTTAAGGCCATACTAAGTAAGTCCACACATCACAGTTTGTATTCAATGTTGGGTTGACTTTCATGCAAGAAATTGGCAGTTAACACTGACCTATTTATTAACAGAACTACAATGTTTCTTTAACCTTAGCCAACGCAGTTGCACAGCTGTTTAAACAATGCTTGCACAGGACACAAAAAATAGACATTTATCTAGATTTTAGATTTTTTTTCCTTCAACTTCACTGCTCTTATCGAGCAATGGTGCTTACCTCAAGATTAAAGTCTCAAAAAGTCTTTAATTTACATGTACACACACTATTTGATCATGGGTAACAAACTGAATGCTGTCAGAATTTAGTCAAAGAAGCTCATCTCCATGGTTTGGTGATTTGGAAACAAATTATGTGTGGCTGAGAGTATTCCTTGAGTGACAAGCATGATATGAAACTGTCCATCTGGGCTGGAAATGCTGTGCTAGATTAAGGCTAACCGGTGAAAGCACACAGGCGCTCCAAGTGGAGTAAAATAGTCCAGTCACCAGTAAGATGAGTGTGTATTAAGACTCTCAAAAGGGCTGATGGGGGAAATCCATGCACCAGATAAAAATGCAAAGATGTTTTTCTGCCTGCACAGCCTCCTGTGAAGCCATGACCTCCGGCCTTCCTCTCCTCCTGCTGGTCCTGGGCAGTTTATCTGCAGCTGAAGCACAGCTGATGGTTTTTAATCTGCGGGCCAGCGATCTTCCTGCCGGCATCTTGGCAACTACAGATGGCTATGTCAAGGTGTTCTGTGGCTCTGCTTCACTGGGTGAAACATCTGTTCGAAACAACGACCAAAACCCCTGGTGGGAGGAGAAGTTCACCTACTTCCAGGCCCACGAGAATGATGTACTGAGGCTTGAGGTTCATGACAGTGACATTCTCTTCAATGACCTTTTGGGCATTTGCCAGAGGCAGATCAAGCTGGGAACCCATGAGCACGACTGCTTCCTAAAGAGTGGCGGAATCCTCCATTATTCCTACACCCTTAGTGGAAACAATCAGTAGGCTTGTGTAGATATACAGGACCTTTGACCTTTTCAGGCAGCCTTTACTTAACACAGCATGCCTACATGCCGCCTCTTGACCAGGTCGTTATTGAAAATGAGAACCAGTTCTCAATTAATTTACTGGGTAAAATAAAGGTAACATAAAAAAATAAATAAAACATCTTGAATTTTGATCAGACAAATCATGTTCACATTTCCCAGAATAAGAAAAACAACAATTGCTTTTACCAATAAACCATGAAAACATTAACTCCAGTCTCCTTGTTATACGTCATTCTTTACTGCCTCATTTTTCAAGACAAAGTAAACATGCTCTGCAACAAGGCAAGAAGTTTCAGTGAAGTTCTTAAATACATGAATTTAGTTGGTAAATATCTATGCTCATTAAAGATCTGAAATCCCACTAAAAATGTGACTAAAATGATATCAAACATGATATGTTCATCTGCTAAGGTTCCTGAGATAATAATAAAAGGTGTAAACATGCATAACAAACTGGAACATTAAAGTACATTAAAGTAAATTTATATTATAACTAAGAATACAAGCATGGACATTCAACAATAAAAAAAGTTAAGAATTATAATTCCATATGCTCTGTCTTTCATGGCCGTGACAAAGAGAAGGAGCTGTCTGTGTTCATCCTCCCCACGTCTAACTCAACCTGCTACCACAGACTGAGTCCAGATTTGGGATCATCACTCCGGTTCTCTGTGTTAGGGGCAGATAAAGGTCAGGAGGTCAACATGAAGCAACCTTCTCTACTCCAGAGGTGTGGTTTTCTTCAGAACTGGCACTTTACGACCCTGACCAGTTTCTGGTGGAGGTGGGAGACGTCCTGTTGTCTCCAAGAGGGCCGTGAGTGGTCATTTTGCAGCAAATATCTGATCTGCAGATTTTCCATTTAGGTGTGAGTTTTGGGTTAGCTGTCTTCTGAAATGGTTTCTTACCAAATGAACAGCTGTGGGAAAGAGTCTCTGGATTCTCTTTGTGTTGCTTTGGAGTGTTCTGCTACTTAGTCTGCTACACAAGTAAAACATGTAACTCACCCTGTAGGGAAAGTATGAATTCCCAATACATGTTATTTAGTGTAAAGATGAACAGCATTTTAATAAATACAGTAAGACTTCAGGTAACAAATCTCCAAATGGGATTTGGATCCTTCTCCTTACATGAACCTGTAAACAGCAATTTCTTACAGCTGACATTTTGGGTCAGTAAATGCCCCATCATATTCTATCACATTAATGACAGCAGCATTCCATTAAAGCAGGTCCTACGTGTGTGCATGAAGGCTCACCTGCACAGCTTATTGGGACATTTTTAATTACACCTGTGTTTTTGTTGTTTATAAAAAGTCAAAAAGCCCAAGGTGAAAAAACTCTGTACCTGAGCTTTGATAGTAACGTGCTATCAACAGGATATCCAACCACACTGCCACAGCTGTTTTATTATGATTTTTGTTTTTGAAAGGTAAAAACTCCAACAGGCTACTGGTGGGCACCAGCCTTTCCTAAGCCATATACTCTTGATTCACATTCCAGCTGCAGTAAAAGTATATAAGTATGTGTATACATGCAATATAGGCTGGGTGCAAAACCCATAATAATTTAGCTCCTATGTATAAATCTTCTTTTGCTTTTTCTGCAGGCACTGACAGGAATCTGAATACTTTGTTGAAGCTGTAAAACACAAACTACTACAAATAGGTAGCAGTGTGCAAAATAGGCATGATGTATGTAGTCTGCAATATTGTATTCACAACATATGCCATAAGAAAAACAAGTGTACACAGTGAGCAGTAAACAAGTTTTATATCTGGAAACGTGTTTATTCTGCTACTGCACTGTAAAGCAGAACGCAAAGCACAGCAAGCATTCACAACAGGACCTATGCTAAAGGGCAATCACATGACCATCCCTCTCATTCCCAGTCAGCTTTATTCTTTTTTCCAGTATTGAACTTCATTTAGCACCTAACCAAATTAAAAGGTTAATGAGCCAATTAAGTTCCATATTAAACAGGAAAACAAATATTTAAAAACTTAAATAGTATGCATGTGAACATGGCCCCCTTTTCCACAAACTAAAGCCTTTCTGGTCTATTTATAGATTATACAAATATTTTTATATATGTATGTAAATGAAAAGACAAAACTACATTTTAGGGCTGACAACCTCACTACTAACAAAGATATATCAACAGCTAAATCTGTATGCAATGCCCCACAGATCTTTATAGTGTAGCTTAGCACTGAAACGTAACAAGACCACAGCATCAGACTTCACTTGTATTAAGCACAATTATTCATATTCAAAAGAGAAAGTTTGAAATTTCAGTGGGCGAAATGAATGGTTGACAATAGTAACAATAACACAGTCCACCTCTGAATGCAACTGTACAGATGAACAAAGGCATTGACATCAATCACTGTTTTTTCTCTTGATGCGCAATACAGACAAGCCTGGCTCCATTGTTGATCCTACAATCACCACTTTCCCCTCTCAACTACAAATCACACAAACACAGCTCAGTGGGGAGTAGCGGCAGCAGCTTCTATTTAAGAAGCACATCAGGTAAAAACGGTATTATCTAGCACAGAGGTCTAAGCCCCAACTTTAGGAAATCTACAACTAAAACAATACACAAATTGACATTTTGTTTGTGTAATACCAAGTGAGGCTGCAACTGGTACATTAGTAGCTCGAAAAGAAAAAGAAGCCAGTACACAGGAGACAGGCATACAACATTTTAGTACATTTTTAGATTCCTTTAAATTAACAAAGGAGACGCTTAGAAACTATCATAATCTTTCTTGTCTTTTTTGCCTTCTCCCTCAAAGCTGTCTGTCCCATCACTGTTGTCACGACGACGTTTGCGGCTGTTGCGAATGTTGAAGCGAGGATTTATCTGCGGTAGAGGGTCCATACCCAAAACTTTATGGATCTGACGGAATGCCAGCAGCCTGAGAGCAAACTGGATAAAAACATGGAAAGAACATTTAAAAATAATTACTTTCAAGGAAAGCCAAGGCAGCTGCAAGAAAACCTCTGAACAGAGAGTGTATCAAGTTTTTAAAGAGAAATCCCTCTAAATCCAGATGACTACATATCTTCCAGTATGTGTTTTGGTCATTTGTTAGCTCTTAATGTTAAGACCGACATCTGGTGAAAGGCTGGCTTCACACTAGAGACAATGACCCAGGTACAAAAAGTAGTGACATCAACAGGACTGTCTACTTACTTAAGAGTAAAATTTAAAAAAAGCTCTGCTGCTTCTGTATTGTTGTTTACAGTTTACTCTTTACTTATAAAGCTGTGTAATTGGTATCACATGACAACTTTAGCTTTTCCACACATTCTGAGAACACTTCTTGTTCCTCCCATCTAAACTTCTTTATGTCTCAGTCACAGTTTACGTAGAATTCAAGAGCTCATACTTGGGCACTTGAGGTAATGTCCTCTCTCTGCTGCTCTCCCATAGGTGTGAGGGTATCCACAGGCTTTTTTTCACAAGGGTCTACCAATCCTGGACCACCTGTTGAAAGAAGCCAAACTTCATAAGGTGGTGTTTTATTGCAGCATATTTTCAATCATCTCTGATCAATAGAATCACATCATATAAGCATATGCAATTAATACAGTAGAAAGCTTTACGTTCACAAAAATCTCAAATGTACAGATAACAGCTTGACATGACTTCCACATTGCTTTGATCATAATGGAAGAGCTGACATTTTCATGACAGTGTATCACACATTTGGCACACTAAGCCATGTTGCAGTATATTATGCAAAGACCTTTACTGTCACTGCATCCTTAATTTGGCACTTTCCGAAACTCTTTACATTCTGAGGAATCTGAGGAATTTGTAAGTAATTTATGGTAAAAATTTTGGACTTGCTTGACTTTTGCTTGGCAAATTTAAAAAAAACCTAGAGTGATGGATTTCTAAGCTGACCATTGGTTTTAGTTTTTGAGAAGATGCGTTACCAAAAGATTTGCTTCTGTTGATTTTTATTTATTAATTTTTTTAAACACATTTTTGAAAGCAGTCCTGCTCATTTTTTTTATTTGAGTTTTTTTTTTTTTCCTTTTTTTTTTTAATCATAAATTGCACCAGCCACCATTGGCTTAACAGGTCAGCCTGTACAACATTTGTTGACATTCCTGTACTGACCCAGTGACCCTCTACGTTTCTACGCCTAATTCTGGTGTGCACATCTGTAAAGCTTTGAAGGCTATTGATCCGAAAGAGTCATCTAGACCTGACAACTTGGATCCCTATCGTTTAAAGCAGGGGTTCTCAACTGGTGTCACCCTGAGACCCACATTTTCCCATGGTCATTAAGTCGTGACCCAATTTTTTTTTTTAGAATTCAATATATTTTACTGTGCAACATACATTTCAGAGCACATAACCATGCATAGTAACTAGACCATGACAACTGCATGTACAAAACTGCACAAAATAAAAAAGGGTACAAAACAACATATTTTCATTCCATTTTGAGCAAATTAATGAGAAACTATGGAGGACCATGACAACTACATGTACAAAAGTAAATAAAATAAATATCAAAACTACTCAAAAATAAAGTTTTGGCCTAATCAGGTCATTTGTTGAAGTTAATGAGACAGCTAAGCACGTGCTCCACTCTTGATTAGAGTTTCAGAGTCTGAGGTGACAGTAGACAGAGCTACTCTCAGATCATGCTCAGTGTCCAACCTGTTTCTCTGCTGTGACCTGAGCTGGACCAGGGCAGAGAAGCCACTGTCACACAAATAGGTTGAGCTGAATGGTAAGATTGTTTTAACTGCAAGAGTGGCGACAGATGGATACTCAGCCATCACATCGCTGCACCAGCAATGGGAAAGGCTGACCTCTCCAAATCTCTTTTTCAGCGTCTGATCAAATGACAGCTCCACCACCTGATGCTCTCGTGCGAGCCACATTTCGTTGTCATACAGTTCTGGATACATGGAGTTAGTCTCGGAG